TCGTGTAGGTAGAGATAATGTAGGTTGCTTCCTAAGCAACAACACGTTACCTGTTACCTGTCGCGATAACATTTACCTGACGTTGATGGACAGAGTACCGACTTGGTACTACGAACGTCACATGATTTACCGATCACTGTAACAGTTAGTGAAGTAGCTTTTGTCAAAATATCGATAACATTGTTTGAATTTTGGTCTTGAATCGAGCAGTTAAATATTACGAGTTTTAAGGTATTGAGTTGACGAAGAAGAAAAAAAAGATACACGCCCACTTGTACTTGTATATTTAATAAAGAAAATATAATGATCGCGTGCTAGCTATTATGAGTATTTGAACAAAATTTAATATAAATTTATTTAAACAATACTTAAAATCCTAATATTGATAATAAAATAATATATAATAATAATATAAAGTAATATACATATAGATAAAATGTTTAAATGATCAAATATGAATTAAAAAAAGTTCATGAATTTGTTTATTGTAATAAATTAACATTATTTATTTAATTTCTTAAATGATTATAGATGTCAGTAAATTTTGCAATTTTTAGTACTGAAGTTGAATCATACTTATGCCGATGACGTTTATCTAATTTAAACGTTTCAGAGAGGTAATGAACATTTGATATACTTGCCATTAGTGCATAAGTACTTGTAAATAATTCTCGACAAATTGCAATGCATAAAGAACGTATTTTGCTCTTTATTAGTGCTACCATTTCCTATATATATATATATATATATATATATATATAACGAAGAGGAAGACCTTAGTTATATGCTCATAAGCAATAAAATAGACAAAACCAAAGAATTATTCGTAAATTTATCATCGCTTTTGAAAATAATTCAACGGATTATCAGCATATGCTGATAAATACAGAGACATACGCTTTTCAACTGAATCATGCTGGTTTATCTGTTCGCATTATTTGTCTACGGATGAGACCATCCTCGGGTAAAGAGTAAAAATGATCGGAAAAACTAGTTCGTACTAATGCCAATGTACAATTTATCAATATTAAATAGCCAAGTTCAATTGCCGATTAACCTTTTGTGCATTTTACGAATGTGCGCGACAATGAGCATTAGTTAAAATGATCGGCTGCTTGCTGAATTTACAATACGATCGACCCTACAGACGATGAAATCCCATAAAACAACATAACACTATGATTTAATGAAGTGAGATGAGCATGTTTGGCGCGTGAGGAATTTCGCTGCCACAAATGGTACCCATGTGTTGTGAAAATTTCCTTAAGCGTAAAACTACACAAATCTATTAACTTTTAATTTACATTCGCAGATAAAATAAGATATATGAAAATGTTCTATTATCCCTGTCATACTTTGAGCATTACATTCTGTAAAATATTCGTAACTAATTTATCCATTTACATAAGATTAAGGTTTACTGTTCGAGTAGTTTAAATCGATCGTGTAAATTTTCTACGCATATAACAATTTATTAATTCTAAGAAGAATTCAATTAGAATTATTAAGTCGAAAAAAAAGAAGAAAAGAAAAAATAATAAAAAAATTATTTGAAAATCTAATTCAATAAAATCATTCGATAAACCCACTTTTACTTTGATAAAAAATTTACACTTTAAGTTCAGAATCTTCTTAATTTTTTATGTATAATTAATAAAAAATTTCATTATGCCTTTCATTCAAATTTCATAATTTTTGGTATGTTATAAAAAGTTTACTAATGGTACTTTGATTAAATTTATATACTTCATTTTAATACATATTGTTTTGTACATATTTTTTTAACATTTAACAACAATTAATAACTTTTCAACATTTTATTGTAATTAGTAGCACATAAAAAAAATAAAAATAATGAAAAGACAACGGTAATAATTTAAATAATAGATTATAAATTACGGCTTTGGATAAATGATTCGCAATTGACGATCAATGATATAATTTGCAATACTATTTCCTAAAATTTAATGAAATAAAGTAAAAAGTAAATAACTAATCTTAAAAAATCTTTATACTGGAAGTGTATTAGAAAGTATATCATATGTAATTTCTAATGATATTAATTTTCAATACAAATTATAGCAGTAATATAACTATTTTGGTGACTTTCAGATTAATTAAGTACGTTTAATTAAGTATTTTTTTATTTAATAATTAAATTAAATGAATTTATTGCATTAAATCTACTATCTTATTACGCGCACTTTATCGTATGTGAATATTTCAAATTCAGTCTCAGTTTTTTGTATTAACATTTTTTCTCAAACTTCTTGGAAAATTACCTTTTACGAATTTTAATATTGAATTTGTTATACTTTTAGAGAGTTAACTATCACACATTATTACATTTATTATTATTTCTCATACAAAATTAAAAGATAATTTTTAAAATAGTAATAAATTTACTTCATTATTTACAATATTTTTATTCATTTTAATGATTTATTTATCTATAGCTATCCATCATAAATAAATATTTTTTATTATTCTTCCTATATATGACATATATGACTATACTAAAAATAGTGAATATTATTTAAATAATCGAACAAATATGCCATTAAATGCGCCATAAATTTGTAGAATACCATAATTAAATTTAAAAATGATTGGTTCGGATACATTCATATTATAACTATTTATTATTAAGGTCAACGATACATATGAGGATTTATTTAATAGCATCAGAACTCTAAATCTCAATTATTCTTGTGCGTCAGTAAATCTGAACATCAAACATTACCAATAGACTTATATACTGAAAAATTTAAAAACGTGTTAAGCAAATGCATGCAAAAAAGGTTATACTACATTATATAATTGATTTTTTCTTTGTTTTTGTTTTTATTTTTGTTTAAATTTAATCATGGAATTGATTTTATGTTAAACATAATTCGGTAGAGGCTTAAAGCTCACATTTTTAAAACATGGACCCAGGATGTGTAATTGTTTTTATCGATCGTATTGCAATCACGTCAATCTACAATTGATGTAATCAACTTCGACCAATTACTATCGATAATTCTCTATTGTAAATTTACATTTTAATGACTGACGAATACATTTTAATGTTTCTTTATGCGCCGTTAGCATTAAAATCGTAGACTCTTCCTTTTCATATTGCTTTTTCTTTATCTGTCGAATAAAAAATAATTTAGAGCAATTGAATTTAACAAACAAATTTCAATTATTCGGTTACAGTATCTGCATTTCTTACGAATATTGAATATTCTATATAACTAATTACAAATGAAAAAGAAAAGAAAAACATTAAACGAATGAAGTTTTACACATGAAAAATATCATGTGATTCTTATAAACAGTATTGACATTTTTGAACGTTAGTTATAAGAAGAAATTGTTTTGTCAATTTCTTGGAAATATTTTACAGTATGTATTATTTTTTTTTTCCAGTAAAATTGTATAAAATAATCGAGTTCAATTTCTTGGACAGAATCATTGTAGAAAGATGATTATAAGTTAATAAAATGTCTTAGTAATTTGCGATCTATTCGTTGAAAATGTTTCCGATGGAATATGCCAAAAAAATCGAATGAATTTGAAAAATCCGGTTAGCTGAATAATATCTAATCTAGTGTTTTATGACCCCAAGCTAACATTGAATAGCACAAAGTATTAGTTTTATATATTATAAAAACTTGCGAGATAAAACATAATTGATAAAATATATGTTGAGTCGTTATAATGGTTATTGTAAGTGTCAACGTAGCCCCAAAGACAAATGAAATTCATAATAAAATAATAAAATATATTTGCAAAACGCTAATGAGTATAAAAATTGTAAGTATTTAACGGATTTACTTACTACATCAATAAATTAATAATTCAATCATTGGCATAATAATTAAGAAACTTCATTTTCCTCATTTTTCCAATTGATATTCGTCTATTCATCCTAGCCGTATAACAATTGTCATTGGAATAAGAAAAGTACCTTTGACCTTCCATTGGAACGTTTTCCTAAACCGTTCGAAGATTGGCCAAAAACTTGAAAGTCACAATGACTAAAATTCAAACACTGAACTTACGTTTAACCAAGCCCGGCAAATGATAACGAAATATCCCATATATATTTGTAATATTACGACACTAAACTGTAATGGACCCTTGTTAGGCCAATTTTATAACAGCACCCGTGGTTGTAGCTGTGGATGTTGGCTTAGGGATATAAGAACCGTGTATGTATAACGGTTAGTGGCCTCGAAATCGCCTAGCAACAAGTTGAAAGAGTCTGAACGCCATTGCTCTTTCTTATTCCTTCGGGTTGGTACTGCTGCCATACTGCTGCCGTATTTATTTGCACTCATACGCGCGCGCACACACACACACGCATACACACACGCGCGCACGCTAAG